GGTAAATTAATAAGCAAACAATTAATGTGCAATTGCAAAAGTGTACTAAAGTAATTTAGATATTTCTTGGCAAATATAGGTAAAAGAAAAGAATAGGTACCCTAGTTATACATAAACAGAAGAGCTCACTGAATAATACTTAAACTTAAAACATATTAAATTATCCTCTATATTCGCTGTAAATCGCAGCTGTTGAAAAACTAAACAAGGGGAGAAACAAAAGTAAAAATGAGTATCATTCTATTACATGAGCTTTTTTTTTAATTTAATGGCCGAAATCGAAATATTTTCTTATAAAAATATGTTACGTGAAAGTACAATTGATTGTCATTTCTTAAGATAGGCTTAGCTTATAGTAGATGACTCTTATTCATATTCTGCTAAATTTTCTAGAAAGTGATATTATATGCCATGTACTATTACAAAGGGATGAACATGAATCGAGTTTAGACTTGTATTTTGCAAGATCATGATCATAATTTTCGAATCGAATTGCACTAAGTAGACCTCATTAGGGGTTGACAAATAAATGTTATGCAAATTATAATTAGTTACTGTCAAATGAGTAATTATATTTTGCAATTGTAGTTTGTCAAATTTCTTGGTTTTGTTAAATTTATCAGTTTTTTTTTAGAATATTTGGTTTAATAAAAGATCAAGGATAGGGATTCCGTGCTAGTTGACATATGTTTCAGATAGGCTTTCACATTCCACCACCCTCAGTGCAAGTTGCCTTTATCAGGGGCCACAGATCAAAGGACTGACACATTTTGTTGCATTTCATTAAACGAATTGCTGGCGCCTGTTGCCGTCAAAACTTTCCCACGTTTGCCGCCTACCTAAGAGACCGGGCGAGGCGAGGCAAGGCGAGGCGAACGTAGATACCACGCAAAGTCGTTACGTGCAACGCGACGCCAGGTCGAGCTGCAACACTTCCGCAGCTCATTTTTGTCACCGGAAAGGTAAATCACGAATTTGTAGGTTTTGCTGACCGCGCAACAAGCGGAAATTTGTGTTAGCCGTTTGGGGTGAAAATTATAGAAAATACGCGCAGCTTTTCAAGTTTTTCCGCGCGCACATTTCCACCCCGAATGACAAAAATATTTTTAATGCTATCCATAATGGTGGTGGTGGTGGTGGTGGTGGTGTCGGTGTTGTTGTTGTTGGTGCCAAGTGCGTGGCTCGGCGTGTAGCAACCACCGCGAATCGCGGCCTTTTAATTGCATTCGATATGCGCTTTTGGGAAATTTCCCACGATTTTCGTGCAAGATTTTTCCAAGGTAACTTAGCTGCACTCGCAGATGCGGCGATAAGCTTGGCTGCTGGCCCTCCCTCTAACCCAGCCCCTCTCCCGCTCGGCTCAATACGCAATGCTCATCAACATAATCACAGTCATACACGGATTCTCATCCTCATCATAATCAACATTCTGCCCGCTGATTGTTTTCGCGACTGACCGCGATGCTTGGCAAAGGGGTTGGGGGTTGATCGAAGGAACGCCCCTAATCTAAATAGCTGCGCACACACACACAGATGCACGCATACACACACACTCCTTGGACAACGGTTAGATTCCTTAGCGTATTCTGAGATTTGTGTGACTCATAACGAGTTTTTCGTATTGTTCTAAATGTTTTCGTTTTTTTTTTTCGTTATTCGCTTCGCTTGGACCTTAAGTGGATCGGTATGAAGATCGGGATCGGAATCGCGCAGGCGCTGCTAATGCCTGGCCATTGTTCGGCACCTCGCGAACGCCTTGGCATCCTTTGTTTAGCGCCAGCTGCCGCTTTGTTTGCCCATGGACAGCGGCGAGCGCCCATGGCCGAGCCTATTAATCCTGTTCCTGTTTTCCACTTTAAGACCAGCAGCGGCCGAGGTAGTTGAGGATTCAGTTACGCCAGCTTAAAGAGGTGCCCAATTGAGGCAAGAGATACTTTATGTAAATTTGATAAGTATTATAGTTACTTTTTTAATCCAGTTTAAATCGATGCCTGGTTGTCCTCTCAGATATTAAAAGGGGTAGCATTTATAACAGAAAAGTGTTGTATAAAATATGGCCAGACACTCGAGATTTATTAAAGAACAGTGTTTGCATTATGGCTTAAAAAATATATTATTTACTATGCATATTTACGAGGCATAAATATTTACCTTTCATTCCTTATAGTAAAGGTAGTGTGTTAAATGTTTTTTTAACAACTATTTTTTGATTATAAAAATTCTGTTATACTTTACTTTTGCCAGTTTTCTTATGCCTTTACTTGTGCTCTTTTTTGTACATTTTTAAATTTTACACTTAATTCACTAAACTCTCAGATTTATTCATAATTTACTATCAAAATTTCTATTTTATAGAAATTCAAATCTCTCCATAAGGTTCTGTCTGTCTATGACTGCCATAAAGCTAACCCATTGGCTTTCCTTTTTTTTTTATTTATTATGTATTTTGCTTAAGCATATCGTAAAATTTGCATGAATAAGAAAGCCTTAAAATAAAAAAAAGAATAAGAAAACAGGAAGCTTTAAAGCCACAATATTTATACAGCTTGAATTGACAAAAGTTATTTATCAGTTCCCGCTGGTAACATATGTACTAATTATAAATAAAAAACGAAAATAAATAAACAGAAATATTTAGTTATCAGTTTCGGATTGTTGAAATGTGAATAAATCATATTTCACATATCATGTATATTAAAAACAATTATCAAGCCAACATGGACTTACGGCATCCATCTTTGGGGTACCGCCAGCAAGAGCAACCTGAACATTATTCAGCGGTTTCAAAATAAAGCTCTGCGAATTTTATCTAACGCGCATATTTACCATGAAAATACCACAATTCACAGCCAGCTTAATATACCTTGGGTTAAAGAGGTAATTGCCAAGTTGAGTGATATCGCTACATCGCCAGACTAGGCAACCACCCAAATAATCTTGCCACCAACCTTTTAAACAACAACTCAACAACAAGACGGCTCAAAAGGAAACACCCACTTGACCTCCCCCAAAGAGTCTAACTCCACAAATTCCACTGCTTCCCCTACACTAAACACACAAAACAGACACATAGATACACGCAATACATAACTGCCATAGGTCAAAGAAAACATTTAATTATTGCCCAAAAAGGGGGCAGATTTTAAATAAAATAAATAATAATTATGTTAAAAAAAAAAAAAAAAAAATGTATATTAAATGTTGATTTTTGCGAGTATTATAATAAAACTAAAAAAATTCATTTATTTTTTATTGAGATTATAATGATTAAAGTAAAAACATTTAAATATATATTTTAAAATATTCCCCGTTTAAAATAACATTTTTTTGTTTGCCATGCAGAGGTTTATTGTATTGTCTTTAGTTGTATTTTAAATTCTGATTGAAAGCTTTCCCCAGATGCAAATTGTGCACTCTTTGTAGCTGTAATTCGCAATCGAATTGTTTCAATCGAGTCACCTGCTTATATAAACAAAAGCCAGACAATCCCCGTCTATAACAATCGAAATACGTTGTCTGTTTCTTATTTATACCACTTGGATTTACATTGTTTGGGCCTGGCACATGCCTCGTTAAACGGGTAACACGCGCTCCTCTACTCAATTCAATTGAATAAAGATATGTATACATATGTATATAGTATTTATGCTTTCATAAAAACAATAAAAAACAGAAAAGAGCTTATACAATAATAAAGCGTTTCAAAGATGTTGTGAATCCATCATCAAGAACATGTAGGGCTTAATGGCAGAAGAGCACTCTGTGACAAACTTTAGTTAAAATATTTTTGAATGTGGATTGGGCCTTCCTCAGAATTCCAAACCAATTCTAATTGAAATGCATGTGTTTTTTATTAAGTAAATTAAATTTAATTTAATAATGTATTAAATTATGAAAGCTTGACAAAATTTCAGAAACTACGCACAACAATTCATTGAGACAATCTCAAATATTTTTCAAGGATAATACATTTACTATATTCCTAAACATACATAACTTTGCTGCCAGGGAAGTTTTCAAAAAATATGACTCCCCCGAACAAAGTAGAGGTCTTTCACAATTTGTTTACATGGTTTGAGCTAAGCCTAAAAAATGACTTAATTTAGTAATTTAATTTTCATATGTCTAATGTACTCACTTTTGGGAAACATACGTTTTTTAGGCTGCCTCACGTATTCCCCAATATTCTTGCACAGTCTAAAGAACTATTATGAGTCGAGGAAAGGGCCAGGATGCGCTCGTGGAGTATCATTTGGCCGAAGAACAACAAAACACTCAGAAAGATATACTCATTCTTGGGCACATCAAACTGTCGATCGTGAATTATGGTAGCCGTGTACATGATCATCGTAACAGAAGAGATGGCAAAATAGTTGCGTACAACTGTGTATATGGCGCTGGTCTCGAACACGTAGGCATTGAGAAAGAACAGTATCAGCATTATATTTGAGAGAGCAACGCCGAGGCTGAGCATCAGGTCACCAGGCACCATACGCATTGGAAAGTAAGCGCCGTAGAAAATAGAGGTGACCACCACGAAAACCACAATAAGGCCCGCATACAGATTAACCAGCACTCCCTTAGTGTTTTGCTGCTCCACGGCAATGTATAGAGTCGATGTCTCCACAATGAGCAAAACTAGGGCCATATTCCAGGGGAACTTGCGTCCAAATGGCGTACAGGAGAGCACGCAAATACCAAAAAATGTGCCCATTAGCCAAAACCCATATCTCACCGGCGGCACTTTATATTTGCGCCAGTCCGAGAAGTATCCAATTACGATCCACTGGAGTAGCGCAACTGCGGCAAAGAGCACACTCAACAAGTAGATGCGCATGCCGTGACGTATGTTCAGATCGGGTGGTATGCCATATACATCCGGCGGTTCAGGATGCATTTGAGGGTTTTCGCCTAACCAATTTGACAGTTAAAATCAGGGATTCAAAAATGATCCAAGCACAGGAAAACAATCTTCGAAATGTTACAAAAAAAAAAAAAAGAATAATCTAACTTCTCAAAATTTTGACTAAATGAACTAAATGCTAAATGCTGACTGAAATTTTCGATGTCTTGAGTGTTTTAGTTGAAATAGCTCCAAAATGCTTGCAGAAATTTGGATAAATATAATTTACCTGTCTGATCGCAAGGGCTTGTCACCTGTTCCTAAATATATGTGGTAGAAGTAAAAATATGATATGCACAGGAGGACCATCACAAAATCTAAGAAAACGGTGAGGACGCATGACGCCATATCAAACAGTGGCACAATCTGTAGGCGACCGTGTATATACTGTGCATGAAAGGGTATTACTATGACCAGCAGACAAAATAGCAGGCTATAGAAAACCAAGCCGTAGACCGGGTCGCTAAGGAAAAACATGAGAAACAGAAACACGAGGAGCACTATCATAATTAGGATCAATAGACATCCAGTTAGTAGGCCGCCCGGCAGAACTGTCAGTGGGCACAGGGCGCCACAGATGTGCAATACAACGATCACAGCCAGTGCAATTGCTATTCCACAAAGAAAATTAAGTGGGTCGAATGCGTACATAAAACAGCTGCCGCCTAGAATTAAAAATATTGCGATGCACACAACCATGATCCAGTTTAGGGGAAAGATATAGCGCACTCTCGGACACCAGTTGAATATAATGACCGTAACGACCGTCAATATGAACCACACATAAAAAGGCACCTTCGTCTCATTGACTACGTTGAATTTGAGAAACGCAATGGTCAGCCAGGTGGCGCACGTGATCAGAATTAACATAGTGGCAATAACGTAAACTTTGCGCACAAATGCTTGGAACACTTCGTCAGGGATGATTACCACAATTCGATTCTGGTCCTGTTCGCCAGGCGGTCTGGCCCCACGCGCGAAAACAATTTGTGGCTCTTGTGGTTGTTGTTGTTGTTGCTGCATATATTGCCGCATTCGACGTTGATCTTGCTGTTGCTGTTGTCGTTGCAGTTCCCGCAGTTGCTGCATTGTTGCATCTTGTTGCTGTGCACTCTGATAGCTCGGATGCATATTGTCGTTATTCTGTTATTGTTCTTCTTATTAACTTAACCTTAAAATTTTTGATTCCACACGTTAAACGTTATATTATTATTGCTATAATTATTGTGCTATTGACAATAAAATCGAAGCTGCTTTCTGAAAACTTGTTGGTCTTTCATATCTATTCGAAAGTCAATTCAAGTGCATATCCTAACATTGCTCAAACACTGTTAACATTCTTTAACTAATAATAATATAATATTTACATGATAAATTATAGCTTTTTTTCTTATCGCTCATTGAGCTAAGGTCTTTTTTTTTTGCTTTTGCACAAATTAAACAAAATTTTTTCATCTCCATTGATCAATTCTTTGAGTTTTATGTTTTATTTTAATTTTTAAAATATTTTCTTTATTAAAAATATATTAATCTATTTCGAAAATTTTTTAATATTTCTATTAGTTTAAATAAATTGCATCAATATATTTTATTAATTGAGAATATCTATGTGCAACCATTCGGGATTGGAAATTGGCGTTGGAAATACTACAGTTATCGCCGGTCAAATGGGCTCAGATCAGTGAGTGGACTTTATACGAAAACTTATTACATTTACTTACGAAATTAAATGAGGATAATCATTAAACATATATACATATACAATTACACAATTCGATTAAACACATCTGACATTCTCACATATGTCTTTACAATTTACTTTTGATTGACGCTCACCATTGGTGCACCCAGATGAGGTAGTAGAACGCCATGAAGAATAGAGTGAAATGCATGTAAATGATAACTGCACAGCTCAAGAATGCCTCCTTGGGTAGCTTATATCTACGGCCATGTATGACTTGGGCATGAAACAAGGACAAGGGCAGCGTTACAAACAGAATGAGGCAAAAATAGACAAATCGGTATATGGAATGATCCGTGATTATAAACAATATGAGCATCACTCCGGCTGCAGCTGCAAACACGATGAGGACTACGACCAATACTATCACGCCGGGCAAAATAAACATGGGCAGCCATGCTCCCTGAAAATAGCATACAGTGAGAACTATTAGGGCCGCAACGAGCGCCACCGAGATGTTTTGATCCGATCGCACTGGCAGCAGCAGGACCACACTCATCGCGACGGTCTCCACAAAAAGCCAGGCAAAGATGCAGCCGAACCAGAAATTGGAGCGCAGCTGCATGCAGAAGGTAAGCAACATTAGCGCTGTGAATGCCAATATCAGACAGATAAATCCAGGCAGCACGAATATACCCTGCTCCTTCATCAGGAGGGCAAACATCAGCCATTGGAACACCGTGATTATTATAAAGATGCCGGCCAACAAATAACAGCGGTTCATAAAGTTGAACACATGATATATGTCATCATTATCGGCAGGCGGCGGCGGCTCGTTTGGCTGCAGGAAGTGCACTAGCGGTCGTTGTTGCCGCTCTAATGGCGGCTCGTGCGGCAGCTCTGGCTGGCCCGGAAAGTGATGCAGAGGCAGCGGCAGCTCGTAGGGCCATAAATCCCAATGGCGTCTCGAATTCCAGCTGAACATTTTTCCAACTGGGTTAACTAGAAATTTTGACAGTATAAGCTTCGCCTTCAGCTGTTTTGGCGCTCAGCCTTAACGCTCTGCTCGGCGCCTCAACAAATCTAGACCAGAGATATTGATGGGGGAATGGGGATAGGGACTTTGTGTGGGAGTTGAACAAGATTTACTTTTTAGATATTTTTTATTTTGACAACCATTTAAGATGCATATACATTCGTTTTATCAATTTTTTTTTTTTTTTGGCCATAGTGAATATATTTATCAATTATTTATTTTTATTTTTTATTTATCAATTATATTTGTGATATTTTATTTAAACTTTAATAAAACTAACTTTGTAACACATTAGACTAATCGAATAAGAGATATCGTATTGAATAATACAATTAATAATTAGCTGAAACAACTTTACAAAAATAATGGTTTTTTTATAAATTTTTTTAAAAACTATAATAAGCAATAGTTATATTTATTAGTATTGGATAAATATTGTAGATAAATGGATACTTTTTGAATGTTATATAAAATGCACTGAATACGCAATAAGCCATTCAAACATCTGTCTAATTTCAAAAAGCCCTATCACATAGTTCTATCTTTATTTATGTATCTTTTGGCCAAATGTTTCGGTTGTAACTCATTGTGGTGCCTCGCCTCGATTGAGTGTCATGAAAAAGGCGCTCTGTTGGCAGCGGAAAATGCAGTGAAGCATTGAACAACAACAACAACAGAGGCAGTTAGGGAAATGATAAGTAGCAACGATCAAAGCTAACAAAACAGCCACAAAGGATGCAGCGATAATAAGGACAACGAGGACTGCCGTACGCGCGGCTCTCCCTATTTTCAGGCGCTGCTCGACAATGTTTGTTGTTATTTGGCTGATCGCTTGAATGCCGCGCAATGGATATAAGAAAGAAGGAAGTGTATCTTTGAGATGCGCGCACCGCCGCATCTGCGGCCTCCATCACGAATCACGATCACTTTCACAGACGGCGGTCGCGGCATTGTCTAAAAAAATGACTCAATCAGTTGGCTGCTGCTTATCCTTGATCCTGCTAAACACATGCAAATGCTTTTCCATTTCCAGCAGACAGTTGGCAAAGGGCTCACAGCGTCTCACAGGAAAAAGCAGCTGCAGTTGATATGATATTTCCCTACTTACTTACGGAGTGCACCTAATGCCACCCTAAGCACATCAGCTTTTGTTAGACTTAAGACTTTTCAATCAAATTGTTAACTTTACATATTTCATTGATCTTGTGCTGAAGTAAATGGAGTCCTTTTACTTAAAACATATTAATGGGTAAACAACATTTTAAAGATATTCAAAGATAATCAGTTATATATTTCCTTGATTTAAAAAAATCATTAAAAATCTTAAATATGCTTTATTGGTAAATAGAAGACAATTGGCCCAATAAATATGTATAATTGTTATAAGTTATCTAAGTTATTTATTATTATTATTTGTATTTCTAATAACGTTATTATTGGCAACATTTTTATTTATATTATTATTCTTGTCAATCTTTATTACTATATAATTGCTAAATATTTTTATATTTAACAGTCTCTTATGACCTTGTCTGAAACATCAGTATATCCACCTGAGATTTAAACCTAATGCTGAGTAACAACATAGATTAGAAATTAAATTTTTCTTACAGATTTCATAAACGTGAAAAGTATTTTATTAAGATCAGCATTCCTGCAACCCTTAATTCAACTATATCAGACGACAACAATTATAATCTAGTTGAGGTCAATGTACGGCAAGAATTCTTGAATTGACAAAAAACTTGGAAAAAGTGAAAGCGCGCCGGCAAGTGCTCGACAACTTCACGACATGCAAACGAATGCAGTGGAGCAGGCAGCAAGAGGGGGGACTAGGGTTAAGGGGTACAGAGTTGCCGCTGCTGTCCGGCCACATGACACACATGCAACAAACTAATGCGGAGAATGTGAGTTGAGATTGGGGCACATTGGATTTTGCATGCTAGCCGTGCGAGGGCCAACAACATGAAACGCTTCGGGCCACAAAATGCACAGTCCAAAAAGCTCACAGAAGCGTAACGAACGAGGCACACACAGTTACACACACACACACAGATACACACACACACGTTTACATAAACAGATGTAGACACAGATGAGCAGAGACGTCCGCTTCAGGCGTGGGTCAGTGGAGAGCTTGGGCACAGGTTCATATATATATCTAGTCTCTATGTGCTGTCTGTACAATTTATAATATTCTATTAGTTCCACGACCCGAACTCGAGCTCGAGCTGGAGACCGAGCCGACGAACGTCACTGAGGCAGCGGCAGCGACAACGGCAGCGGCAGCGCAGTTAGCGCAGATAATACATCCGTTTCCGGTTAAGCCCATATTTTTGTGTCATTTAGCGAGCAGGCAGCAGAGTGTGGAGCAAAGGGGGCAAGAGTGGCAGAGCGAGTGCGACTGGAACAGACAGCTACAGATGCTGATGGCTAGACAGGCACAATGCCACTGACATGCAGCTGGCGGGTTAATGCTAACGGGAATGGGCACGGATCTGGGCAGGGGGCAGGGGGCTGGGGCTGGGGCTTGGGCCTGGGCACGGGCCTGGCATCAAGTGATGCGACAAGTGCAGTCGACGCTGCAGCGTTGCTGGAGCGGAATTGTCAACGCTTCCGCATATTTCTCATTTCCACAATTAAACATTTGCGAGTTTAACGTTATGGAAAATGCGACGCCCAACCCCCCAAGGGTTGGCACAAATCAAGCTTGGGGTTGTGCGTGTAGGCCTTAGCGGGGTTGGGGGCTGGCGGGTCGTTACTTTGCCCTGTTTCTTAGATAAATCAAAGCTGCAATTAATAATGCAGTTTCGGGTGGTCAGGGGTAGTCAATTTGCTGCACCCCTCAACGGGAAGCTCAAATGGAGCTTGGCGCTTGAAATGCCATGTAATTATGTGCCCCTCCTGCACCTGCCGCAAGTTACAGCGGAAGTTACGCTGTGCTTTGTGCATTGCCCCCAGCCGCCCGTCTGGCACCTTATCTGCCCGTGTGGCAATACCAAATTTCCTCATCTGGCTGCATTTTTAGGAGGCAGCTGTTAATGAGCCACGCACGTGACTGTTGCAGCAGCTGTTCTCTTGCGATTCACAGGTGAGCTTTCTAGTGAATCACCGGCATATCCGACGCCTGCTGTGCAAACATTCGAATACTCGTAAATAGCTTGGTTCGCACTCACGAATATGCGCAGGTAAACAACGGACGAATTCCGTAATATGAGTGAACAGCAAAGCGTGTTGATTATAATCGAATAAGCAGCATTATATATAATTATTAATTAGCAATAGATTATTTATGCAGCGGACAGCTCTAATTTTAATAAAGAATTTTACGAAAAAGAAAATCAACTAAAAGTAAAGTTTAGATTACATTTAATTTTAATAAAAATATTACTTTTGTTACATATTCAGTTTTATTTTATTCTTAGTTTTTTATTAAAATACTTATACATAATGGTAACAATTTAATAATAAAAAATAATATACTAATATTTAAAATATTTTTAACTTTCATCACTTTATTTTCTTATTACCATTTATCAAATTTGTTAATATATAGTTAAACTAAATGAAACTTTATTCTAAAGTTTATATACTAAGCTAATCACATATTAATATACCAACTGAGCTATATATATGTGTATGTAAACGCAAACATATATATTTAAAAGCCCTTTAACCTACACACCAAAAATGCAAATTTATACAACAATTGAAAGGGAAGTTCAGATCAAACCTAAAGAATGACATGCAACAACAACAACAACAAGAGCATAGAATTTATGCCGCTAATATAAATGTTAAAAAAATAAATTAGCGAAATTCCGGAAATTGTAACAAATTAACATTGGCGCGAATGTAATTAGTAACGCTGTGCTGGGTGGGTGTTTTTTAAATACCCTGTTCCTAATGAATAAGTGAAATGGGTATATTAAACTGTTCAAGCGTATGCCATAAGCAACATAAAAAATATATGCCTGATTTGAATCACAAGAGAGACAATCTGAATAGAAACATTTTGAAAGTATAATTGAAGGTAAATAAATTGCGATCCCTAGTATAAATATATATGTTTTAGAAAACTCTTACGAATCTCGTACCGATTAGGACTATTTTGTCATATTCAAACCAAACCTGAATCAAAGTGGAGGAAAAAAAGGGCACCAGAAAATAGCCGAGCAAGCTCTCACAAGACCAATTCGTATACAAGCTATTCTTTTTTAGAGTAATAATAAAAATTAGAGTACTTCTCTCTTTATTTGGCATATCTCTGCAGCCAAGTGATTGTCTGTGCACGTTTAGCAAGGGCTTGCGTGTTTATCCAAGAAAGAATTCCTTTTCTGATCATTTGCCTGTAATTTTTGTGTGCGCCGTTTTTTGTTAAATTTTTAAATAAAACATAACAAATTTAATATTTTAGAAGAAATCCATCTGCATAGTTTTTATTGCTTATCGCTCCCAACAAGAATTCCTCTTAGAACACATATATTTTCGGTGCGCAGTTTAGTTTTTGTCTGTTTTGCGCCCGCGCAACTTCATTCTCTCTGATAATTATGTGCAAATGGCAAAGATTTGACCTTTGACTATGACCTAATGTCTTTTTTAGAAAAATATCGATGACTCGGTCAGATCCTTGCAGATTTTCAAAGGACATGGTGCGTTATTATCTGCATCGATCTACATTCAAAAATGAAATGGCTATTCAATAAATTATATTTTAATATAAAGAAAATCGCGTAATTCAAATCGTCTAGGCCAGGGCTATAATTGGTTATCACATAACATCTGAAAGGAAAAGCACTCATGTTTGTGATCCATTAGCATAGTCCATCTGGTCCTTCATGTACACCAGGACAATATCAATGTCATCTGGAAAACATTTGTCATTATTAATTGATCGTCCGAAGGCGTAGTTCCTTTGGCTGAAACGGACAAAACCCGCATTAGTTGGCTATTCATTCCAAATAAATTATATTTTTGGTACAACTTTAAATGATGTCTGTTGAAAATCTTGACTTCTATAAGCTCGTGAGATTCTAAAAAATCAAATCCTTAAAATAACGCATTTTAAATCTATTTTATTGTTTTTCCCAATATAGATTCAAATTATAAAATTATTCTTCAGAATTGATCCCAGTTAAGCCGAAAGTATTATTTTATAAGCTTTGAAAGCACATTGAAGCTGTAAGCAATACTGAACTATATTTTTAATAAACCTATTATTATGTATATAATGGAACTTTACTTGTAATATGTGACAACTTTTGGTTTTGTTACCTTTGCCAGACAAACTCTGACCCACTGAGTTCCCAATACACCCACACTTGATATAACAATACTTGGCCTAGACGAACACGGCTTAAACACTTTGTCAATGCCCAGCGATTGAATATTTCGTGGGTGTTTGAATTTATTAGCGGTTATGGCGATTTTTGCACTCGAAACTGTGACTGCGACTGCGACTGGCAACTCGGCTGACATGCTTTGAATTTTTGATTGATTTTCAAGCAATTAATATTTATTTATTTCGTTGTATTTTTTTATTTATGATTTTTTTCTAACTTGCTAAGGTACATATATATTTATATATATATTTATATATATATTTATATATATATATATGTACTTATTTTTTATATATTTTTTCGAAATGTTCAAATAAACACGTTGTATTGCCGCTGTTAATGGCCGCATAAATTGTTGTCAAAAAATTATTATTATTATTTCATATTTTTTGCTGCTTGTTTATTCATCATAACTCTGAGCTGTTGTTGTTGCTGTTGTTTTTGTTGTTGTACCGAGTCTGGCAGGCAAAGAAGGCGGTAAAGTCGCACGTGCCACACAAGACCAACACAATTTTTGGCTGTCGTTACGAACGTCGTCGTCGCCGTCGTCGTCGGCGCCGTCGGTCTAATGTGTGCATTAGTGTCCCAAATTATCATTAATGCCAAAAAATCAAACTACAAATCGGTTATGGATCGAGGCGGAAAGGTTAAAAGCCTCCCACTGCTGCTGCTGCATGCGGCGCAACTTGTTATTGCTGTTGTTCTTATACCCTATAAGAATCTAAGAAAGGTTAGTTAGAGCTAGTTTTTGGAGTAAGGTTCGATTTGATACACTTGCCCTAACTATCTTAGAAGTGTGTCTACTCGTTATTGGCACTGATTTAATGAAAATTCGTTTATTTGAATATAATTATGTATGCTTCAATTATTTTATTTTACTATCGGTTTTATAGGGTATCTCCTGGTTGAGCACTCTTCTGCATATAACTATAACTTCTGTTGTTTTCGTTGGCATATTGCCATAATAAAAATGCGCAAGAAAGTCGGCGAAGTCAACATCCTTTTACTGGGCACATGTCTGGGCTGGAGCGATATTGTGAATATACATAAATACATATATATATATACATATATGTTAGTCTGCGTTCTGAGGGTGGGTGCAAATTGTTTGCTTTTAGTGCGTCCCTCACACGTGACTACATAAATTGCTTAAATTGCAGCCTCATTAAGTGTTTCAATAATTTGTTGATTTTTTGATTCGGGTTAAAGAAACTAATGTGTACTATTTATATAATAATAAATAATATATAACATTAAATCATTTTAAATTTATTTTTATTGTTTTGCTTGTAAATATTTTAAACCTAAAAGAGTACTTGATTGTTAATAAATACATTTTAAAATTAACATAAATTAAATTAATTAAATTTGAATTTTTTGTCAAGAACAGCGTTAAAATATATATATTATAAAAAATATGACCTTAATATATATATTATAAAAAATATGACCTTTGAACAACTTTTTATAATTTGTATACTTTTAATATATTTTGAATTTCTTTCCAGCTTAATAATAATGGAAATACATATGAAGGCATTGCTGGACCCATGTCCAGCCGATTTCCGATCTTCAGTCAGAGCCACAAATGAGTGAGTCAGCGCCCACTGAAAGCCAATTCATGGAGTATAGTCGGCGCTGGCCGCTGTCCGCTGCCCGGTTGCCATGGTTCATTAGAACCTATTAAACCAAACCAAACAAAACAACCAACCGCCGGCCGGAGCTGAGTTCCAGCTACTCATAAAAATTTCGCAGCTCATAAGCGCCAAAAAGGTAAGCCCAGAGCCAGAGCCAGAGCCGGACCCATGTCCAGACCGAGACGGAGCTGGAGAACCAGGTGAACGAAGCGTACAAAATCATTTCCTATTAAAGCGAGCGGACATGGCAGCGAGCTGGGAGATGGTGTTTTTTTCTATAGCTGTAGTCGGAGTTGGAGTTGCAGTTGAAGGTGAGCTCAAAATGCGTGACTGCGACTAATGACCCGCACGTGTTCATGTTACCAGCGCTCGGTAGGGCGGGTGGTTGGGCGACGACTATGTAGCCAGAATTGATTACGATCGCTGGACGCATATTAATTGTGCCACGTTGCTGGCTATGAAAAGGATACGCAAAGGATGCGACTAAAGCAAATTTGGACCCGCGACTGCGACTGCGCATATGATTAACAACTTAATGGATTCTGGATTCTGGCCCCAGCTGATGTCAGTCTTCGTCTCCGTCTCCATCTCCGTCTCCGTCTCCTTGGAGCTGAAACGCTGTGCGTGTGGCTGCAGGTAAGCAGCGCATTTGTCTGCCACTCGATCGCCACTGCTATTGCCACCATGCAGCACCCTGCAGCACGCAGCACGCAGCAAGCTCAAGGCTCATATGGGGCAACGGCATTGGGAATGGGACTCCGAATGAGAACGACCAAAAATTTGTCACATAGTGTCGCACACTTTTGGAATACGCCGCCGACATCTTCGAGTTTATAGTCCCCCCGTATTTTATATATTTATGGATTGTCTCATGCCTGATGGCTCGGCCGTGTTGCAGATCTTATCCGTTCAGTCGGTGTGCGGCCACGTAGCACGCGGTAAACTGGTATCGATACCAGGTAGAACTGCGAGTGCTGGCCCACACAAATGCCCAGCCGCACGGGAATGTTAATTAGCACTAATTAAATAATTTATTACACACTATTTGAATAGTAGTTATTGTCATCGATTGAGGCTCTGACAGCGCAATGCATAAATAATGAAAAATTTTATGGACCTGAGTCAGCTCATTAATATTTCGGAATATTTTTAGGAATTTTTTGGAGTTGCCTTCATCAACTGGAATTTGGCATATAAACTTGTTCAGCTAAAGCTATTAATTTTTATATAATCAGCATCACGCCTTTCTAAAAATAAATGATATAATGCAGTTTTATAGAATATAATACTCAAAATGGCTACAAAGGTAGCTGTTAATATTATTAATACAAAAATCTTCATATTTATATTTTAACTAGCATATTGTAGAAGTAAAATAGGCAAACAAACAGATCCTTAAATTATTCAAATGCAAAAACGTAGGCTTTTAAGTTTTTCATATAACATTATTATATAAAAAATACTTTTATTATTTCTGAAATGCATTTAGCCTAATTTACAGCATTGGCGAAACAATACTTGATCCCTACGAGTCCAAAGTGGTATAAAATTCCCAAATCAACCACTATTTTTAACCCATCGATTTTTAATTTGTTTGAATGCCAATTGATAGTAAGGATCCGTACGAATACAAAAAGGTATAACATTTCAAAATCAGCCGATATTTACCCGAGATATTAAAAAAAAACACCAAAAAAGTTTTTATTTTCGAACCGACCCCGATTTTTAGAAAAAACGTGATGTAACCCCTTGCTTTTACCCCGATTTGGGTCAAAATTTAGATTTTAAAATTTTTAATGACCATTGATGGTACTGATCCTTACGAGTCCAAAATGGTATATAATTTCAAAATTAAACAATATTTGGCCGAGATATTCCAAAAAATCATCAAACAAGGTTGACTTTACAAATGAATCGGTTTTTAGTCAACAACATTTTTTAACCCATCGATTTTAAATTTGCTTGAATGCCAATTGATAGTAGGGATCCGTACGAATTCAAAAAGGTATATCATTTCAAAATCAGCCGATATTTACCCGAGATATTCAAAAAAAAGCATCAAAAATGTTCTGATTTTCGAACCGACCCGATTTAGGGGTTACATCACCCCCTTGCTTTTTGGCCGATTTGGGTAAAAATTTAGATTTTCATATTTTTTATGCCAATCGATAAAACTGATCCTAACGAGTCCAAAATGGTATAAAATTCCAAAATCTGACAATATTTGGCCGAGATATTTAAAAAAATCATCATAAAAGGTTGACTTTACTTTTGCGAAATAACACTTGAGCTTTTTGTATTGTCATAACACTGTATGTTATTTTTGATACAAAATAAACAAATTAACTAAAAAAAAATATTTAAGACTGCTTTTAAGCTAAGCTTTTTTATATATATATTACAAGCAGACCACCTGGTTCCTAGATGACCCATTTATCCTTGGTCTTACTCTACCAAAGATAACGTCCTAACGAACCTACATGACCGAAAAAGTCAAAAAATATGAATGCTTTTTCTTTCAGCCTTCGCCCACCATAACTACCCCCCCCCCCCTCCCCCCTGCCACTCCCATCGACGGTACCTAGTGGACCCACATGTCCTTGGTCATACCATACCATTGATATAGTCCTGGTGAACCTAGAGGACCGTATCCCTGCAAAATGCGCACGGAAACGGTCCACAAATATGTATGTTTTTTTGCATTTTGTGGGTATGCAATGAAATTTTTCATATATAAAAATTTTAGTTCATCTACCTGCTGGCCATTTCTGTTCGCCTGGTACTTCAGCCGAATTTTCGTTGAAATCTAGACCCAGCTGCCCCTCCGCGCGCCCCGTTTGGGTATGCAATGAAATTGTTCATTCATAAAATTTTAGTTCATCTACCTACTGCCCGTTTCTGTTCGCCTGGTACTTCAGCCGAATTTCCGTTGAAATCTAGACCCAGCTGCCCCTCCGCGCGCCCCGTTTGGGTATGCAATGAAATTGTTCATTCATAAAATATTAGTTCATCTACCTGCTGGGCATTTCTGTTCGCCTGGTATGGGGGTATGGGGCAATGGGGATTTTGCGACCGTTAATATTTTTAAACCTTAATTTAACTGTGGATAAAGTTTTAAAGAGAATTTCGTTGGGATTTGGAACTTTAGGATCATTAGGACTTTATCTATGGTATGGTAAAACCATAGATATATCGGTCATCTAGGAACCATAGAGGGAGAAGGGTACGGCTGAAAGAAACGCATGCATTTTCATATTTCTGGACCATTTACCGCCAAAATTTGCACGAATTTCGAGATTTAGGTTCACCAGGACTATATCAATGGTATGGTTAAGCCAAGGATATATCGGGAATCTAGGAACCATAGAGGGAGAAGGGACGGCTGAATAAAACAGCATACATACATATTTTTGAATCCTTTCCGAGCGAATTTTGCACGGATTTGGAACTGTAGGTTCACCAGGACTCTATCAATGGTATGTTGAAACCAAGGATATAATGGGTCATCTAGAAACCGGTTTTGATTTTCTTTTCGGCCATAGCTCAGACATTTGGCAAGAATTAACTAATGTTTCTTTTTTTATTTATTTTTTTCTTTTTTTTTAGTTAATTTGTTTATATTATATTAAAAAAAAGCATACATTTTCATGACAATACAGATAGCTTAAGTGTTGTTTCGCAATCTTCTCAAGTGTTGTTTGGTAGGGTCTTCAGGCTTACTAGTCGACAACAGTTTCAAAAGCGACATTTGTAACCATCCATCGTCACGAATGTTGTCGGCAGGCTCTGGGGCATCCCCTCTGTCGTGGTTGGATGAGGTCCATAAACGATTTTCTCTTGATAAAACGCCTTTCAACAAGTCTTTTTGCAAGCCGGTTACAGTGTCGTTGCAAGCGTTCATTGTATCGGTTGGTGAATGATCCGACTTGGCTCTCTATGGTCGCCATTACACCTGCGAGCCCAGGTGGCAATTTCTCGAGATCTGAAAAAAGGACAATTTTTAGCCGAGATATTGGAAATATAACATGTTTTTGATAGTAAATGAAGTCCTTTCCAGAAAAGGTAAGGAGTTTAAAATACTGAAATACATTTTTAAACTCATATTTAAGTTCTTATGCAGAGCTTTGAAAATAAGTTTTTCCCGAAACCCCGCCTTAACGTGCACCTTCATCACATAAGGTAACTACAGTAAAAATTTCAGCTTCCTAGCTCTTACGTTATGGGCTGTGCGTTATTCACCAATCAGTCAGTCCGTCAGTCAGACAGTATAAACAGTTTTATATATAGATATATATATATATATATTAAACTAATAAATTCAACACTCTGCAGTCCGTAGTGCCAAAGATATGTATGCCTAAGCCCAATGCTGTTTGGGCTGCTATCAATCAGCAAAATCTTGATAAGATCGAACAAGCGCCAGCAGTAAATAAATACAGCTCACAAAAATACTCAAGTTGGGTTATATTCACCAAAAATGTTAAAAAAAAAGAAAATGTATTGAGAGAATGTGTAACAGAAGCCTAAAAGGCAGGCAGGCGGACAGGCAGGCAACATGACTAACTATAAACGCAATTACCTAGGCAAACGGCAGCAGCGGCAACAAAGGCGACTACATGCTACACCAGACCCAAAGCCAGACCCAAAAAGCCAGACCCAAGCCCATATCCAAGGCCCGGTCCCAAACTGGACTCAGTCACTACCAAGTTACTCAAGTTACAATGAAATTTGTCTGAGGCAAGTAAACATTGCCACCGCATGGAGCAAGTTGCGCAGGCGAGCAAGAAAATGGCGTACGGTAGCCGCAGATGCGGTTGGGGAACATGGTTAGCCATGGGGTTTCCGACAGGAAATCCAGAACCCTAAGACGCGGCTGAGCTCGCAATCATGAGGAATGTGTTGGCCGCACGTCTTTTGCTAATAACCGTCATAAATTTAGAGCGGCAACAAATTGAAATTAAACGAAGGCGACCCAGTCGAGGCACGGCAAGATCAAGCTGCTGTTGCCACAGACTACGGTTCCTTAGCCGCAGAATGCAATCAGAGCGAGAGAGGATCGTCGTGATTTTGTGTGGGTAACCATGGAGCAAAGGGAAAAAGAAATGTGTAACTACTTTGTTGTTGTCATGTAGTTAGCACTTGAAGATTTATCCGCGTGAATTAATTGCGATCTTGTTGCGCAGATTCCATGCGAAATGAAGACCGCTTGAATGTGCAACAACAGCTGCCGCTGCTGCCGCTGTCGCTGATGCCACCACATGTGGCGCAGAGCCCAGGACCTTATCAAATTAAACGGTAGCACAGCTGGAGCTGATCGCCGGTCAGCTACTTGTTGGCCATACAGAAATTATGACAATTATGGTGCGCCATAAATTCAAGACGCGTCGCCAGTGTCGGTCGACATCAAGCGCAATACCCCTTATACTGCTGTATGCTCAGGCCCCAAGCCCCAAGTCGCGACTCCCGTCTCCAACCCAAATACCGATACCAACCGCAACCCCCAAGTGTTCAGCTGGAAGCTCTTCTGGCGCATTGTTATTGTTCCCAAATGCTCGTAAATCAAGCAGCATTTGATGTGTCACAGAGTCACAAGCCGTTGAACTGATCACTGATCGCTGATCGTTGATCGGCGACAACATTATTAGGCGAGATCCTCAATCGCCCATTCGAACATTCGCCCGATCGCCGTACGATCGACACTTATGACATTATGGATTATGATTATGGCGCTCGCGTGCTGTTTATGTATGCCAAGCGAATAACGCAAAATATCTTCACAGTTTCTGTTGAAGCTTTCGCTTTTCAACTCTCTAGCAAAAGGGGCTACTCCAACGGGTATATAGAATTTGTATTGCACAATCTTTAATATACCAGCTATGAAAAACATTAGTAAGAATTTTAATTGCGTTTTAAAGAATCAGCTAAGAGCTTAAAATTACTCAATTCTTTTCTGTTCCTGAGAAGAAAAAATAACTAAATCTAAAAATGTGCATATGCTAGAATCTTAAAGTATGAAAATTCTGTTAATTAATATTTTCACTAGGCGAACATTTTCTCTCAAACAACAAAATCAGGCCACCCTCATTAGGCGGACACTTCTCTTGATTGGACAAAAGTTGACCGACGTTCGGTGTCTGCCCAAGGGAGTTTTCCTATACTCAAATATCTTGCATTGCGAGGTTAAGAATTAAATGTTATAAATAAATTACTTAGCTATGATTTATAATCTTCAATCTCTGTTTACCTTTTACAGAGCATCTCGCAAGTCGTGCAAACGCTTTCAACGCATGACCGCTGAATACTTTTGTTTTTTTGGAGTGCGACGTGGCAATCGATGCCGCGTGGATCGCCGTACCGCCGGATCGATGGATCGTTCATCAGCATGCGTCGCAGGCGGCGTTGGCTTGTTGGTTGCTGATCAATCAACGCCTTTAAAAGTGACTGCGACTACGACGGCGATGGCGACTGCGATGGCGACTGCGACTGCGACTGCAGTTTCTTATTACGAATACTGCAGGGTACGTCGCGACGGGGCTCGCTTCATTTTGGCAAATATATTTTCGCGCATTTCGCGACGTTTACAAATTGCCGCCATTAATTAGGCAAAAAATGCACGCACCGCCGCCGCCGCCGACGACGACGACGACGACGTCCAGTTCCAAGTCAACGTCGAAGACGCGCCGTGTAGGCGAGCCCAAAAATCAGCTACCAGCCTGAGCTGGCAGTGGCAGCGGCAGAGGCAGCGGCAGCGACTGTGCCACTTGGACTGCGGCTTCAAGCTGCCAGGCAAAACACATCCAACACATAATAATCAGCGGGTGGACAGCAACAGGATTGGCATGCGCTTGAAATTAATTACCCCTCACCCTCGGGCAGTCGGTTGTTGTTGCTAATTAAGTTGTTTGCATTTTGAGTTATTGAACTGCGTTGTTGATGACGGACCGAGTTCTGATTTTGGGCAGCATTACGTGCCGCAATGCGGCCCAGAACGGAAATGCATGCGATGAGCGTTGGGATTTAATAAATCGAAGGAAGAATCTTAATTTAGGACAGCTCCTAAGGAAATACTATAATACTAAACTAAATACTTTTTCTATATAATTATCAAGGTTGTAAACCTAACAAAGCTGTTCGGTGGATTGACACATTCGGAATTCCAATGCTTAGCCTTAAGGCTCGGCTTGTGAGCCTGTTATTCAAAAGTCTTTACACATTAGCTTGAAAAATCTTTGGTTCTCCCCATTCTTGACAATTTTTCACTGCAACAATTAACTCAATTACATTAAAATAATAAATTCCCAAATAATATGTCTTATATAAATATCTTAAATAATTGTATAATTTTGCAATGAATTTTAAAATATTTGCAAGTATTCAAAGCTTTGGCTTAGCTTTTCTTCATCTAAACAATTCACTTTATTTTGTGGTTTATAGTAAAGAGAAATTGGCAGCCTGGTGTTTAAATGGTTTTGGTTCTAAATCGGTTTGCAGCATTTATAAAACTATTTATGTTTCTTAGATATTTAAAGACTTTCATGTCAAATATTATATTAAAATAAATAATAAAATAAGTTTTAATTTACTTTGGTATTATGACTAGATATATACACTATATATGCATACTATTCATCAAAAGTTATGTCTTATTTTTGTGCATAACTTTCCAAGCTTTAGTTACTGTATTAATATCAGGGCATATATATTTTTTAATTTTTTATCAAGTTAATTTCATTCACCAAAACCGTAGAAAGTAAAATTTTAACTTAAAAATTTAATTTTTGGGTTGCAACAAACAAAATTTGTTAAATAAAAAAAAAACAAGCAAATAATATGTACTATATTTTTGGGTTTGCGTTTCTGTATGCTAGTTAATGATTTCGTTGGTATTTTAACTACATATTTTAATCAAGCTTCTTTGCTTTTGACTTGCCCTTTCAGCAAACTCTTCGCACTGACTCAGTTTGTCATGCGCTGCTCTCGCCCCTCCTATGCACAACTTAATCGCTTGACTCAGTTGTCAAGCTGCACCCGCCTGGCTGTCATCTCTGCTGGAGCTGTCCAAAAGGCATTTGGTTGCACTTGTTGGTCAGCTGTCCAACGGTGGAATGCATATCGCGTGCTCAGCCCGGACTGCGGCTCACTGAAGCATGGCTCAAAGCACCACCAACAACAACAACAATAACAACAAATAACAACAATATCAGCGGCAAAAGAAATTAAAGATGCGGCGTGGCTGTCAACGCATTTGTTGTTGTTGTGTCGTATAATTAGTGTCTGTGTCTCTAAATAAATCAGTTGCCTTCAGCTGACAGACAGACAGACAGACCGACAGACAGACAGACAGGCGAAGCGGGTAGGAGGAGCAGCCCAGTGACTATTTCAGTTGGGGCACAGTTTTAGGGGCCTTATCGAAAGGGGTCAGCGGTTGATTTGTTTCGGACTCGGACAAAGTTGAGATATTTATTTTATCAGCGTCTGTCGCTGATGTGATTTAAGTGGTTTTCCACAACGTCCAGACATTTTCATGTCTTTATTTACTATGATGTTATGGCTTTTCCAAATAAGCTCTTATGCAATGGCATAAAAACGATTTAGGTGTTTAAAAACCCAAGCAAATTATTGACTACGAAAAAAAAAAATACGTAACGAATTTATTTATAATTAATACTAATCTTCCAAAATATAGATGTGATAAGATAAAAAATAAACTTCCTTGGTTATTTTTTTAACTATAAGACAGATTTGTAAATTATTTACATATACATATTGTATCAAACACAAGAATGAAAATAAAATGAATTAATGTTTTTCGGAGTGAAGTTTGGTATTACTTAAAATAAAAATAATATTCGTTAGTTCTTAATTTAAAAGGGTTTCAAAAGGAACACGAGAGATCTATAAATTTTTCCAGTATTCATTTTTTTCGCGGTTTCTTTTATTTGAAATTAATCTAAATCTCGATTGTGGGCAAAGTGAGGTTCAACGGCTGACTCCTCTTTCTTCAGTTGAAAATAAATCTTAAAAAAATCCTCAAAGCCGTTTCTATGTTACATTTTTAACAATATATGGTTGTGTTTTTACCACTGTGTGGCGCTTTGTTTCTATGTTAATTTGCTTGCATGTTTTTGGTGTTTGATTTCAATTAAGTGCTGTCGCGTGTTGCCGGATTTTCGGACCCCATTGGCTACGATGGGGATAAGATAATACGTTTTTAAACCTTGTAAAGCGTGCGTGTAACCTGTCTTAAACTTAGTGTTAGCTGGGCATCAACACTTGTCGCATCCCGGATCGAGCTGCCGCTCTTTAAGTGGTTCAAGCCAGGCTGCAACATCTTCGTCAGGCAGAGCTACCAACAATGCCACATTATGGGGCATTATCAGCGTTATCAATAAGCACATTAATTTGATTAATAACCACCTGCAAATCATTTCCATGCCACACAAAAGACTGCACAGCTGATAAAAAAATGTGTAGAAAAAAAAATCGCACAATCCCCTAAGTAGCAAAAGTGTCAGCAACAAATGCTGATGATGCCTGATGATGAAATGGATGAAGAAATGCCATTACGGGTAGGCAGCCGCATCAATGCCAGTGCGAGGCAATTTACGCATCGACTTGCGACGACACATAACCAATCGAGCTGGCAACCCTTTCGCTGCTTACACACATAAATCGCTATCTTTATGGAATTTTTATGGGCAATCTCCTCACACACACACACACACACACACACAAACACACCCAAACGCATACAGAAGCCGAACTAATACAGCGCTTCCGTCGCATTCGCGTTGCCAACAGATTTGAAATTGCCTGCAGAAAGGAGTTGGAAAAAGGTGCACACGACACCTGCGCATCATCATTATGTGGGTGTACGGATAGGTTAAGTGGTACATTCATTTTTTTTCACCTCTTTCTTTTTTTTTCTTATTTTTTGTTGGGTAGTTTGGGTCTTACGTTAAAATTTCCTGAGTTGCCTGCTGTTGGCGGCGCAATTTGCTTTGATAACCTGAATAAACTGCCTGCCAAAACTGTGTGCCAAAATAACTCATAGATATGGGATTTAAAATATCTTAACCCCAACTACTTGCCCAATCATTATAGATTTTTGCATTAAAAATTAAGATGAAATAACTTGACATTCTGTTCAATCTGTATGCACTATATAAAAAATAAAGCCGCCTATATTATTAAAAGCTTTGCGCCTTTAAAGAACCTAAAAAAAATGTGTGTCCAAAACTTTTGGAGTACATATTCTTTCAGAGATCTTGCATGTTTTTGAGCATCCATAATACTCATATAATCTTACTCTTCCTAAAAAATAATTGATAAATATCCCTTATGTAGGTCTTTGCAAATTAGAAAGGGCAGTCAAAGTAAAGGAGATAAGAATAAATGAAATGTGCACAGAAAAAATCTACGAAAGCATAAACTAAACTACTAAAAATCAAAGAAATTATAAATATTTTTTTATAAATAATATACATACAAATATCGCGTTACTTTTCAACAATAATACGTAGAGCTTCAATTAAGTTAGTAATAAAGAAAAAAAATAATTAATTAGAACATGTATTTATAAATTAATTCAAACTAAGATTTACTTATTTAAAAAACTTGACAGCAGGTCATATTAAATTTAAATGTGTTTACATACGAACTATCCATCTATTAGTCATCAAACGACGTAAGCCTAACGCCTGTGCGGCATAGCCTCTGGTTATTGGTATCTAAAACCATTTAAGCACTTCGTAAGTGAGTACTTCGAGTACTTGTGGGTTTTAGTTACGCCACAAGGACATAAGCAGCGATTCCAACGCCTTATGGCTGTCCAATGCGGCTCCTGGTCCTGTCGCCTCTGGCCGGTGTTCGGTTACCAGTCCAAAGGACCGGCCATGCCAGAGGGTTGCGCCGTCTATTGGACTGTTTGGGCATAGGGCGACGCTTACTTACCCAGTATTTATCGATGGACGCGTGTCTGTTTATTAATTGAAGTATTTGTTCTGCGTGTGTGTTATTTTTTTTCTGAGTGAGCGTGTGTGTGAGTGTGTGTTGTTGCCGCCTGTTGTCTGTTTGTTTTGTTTCATTTTTTTCATGGTTGTTGCCGCTGTTGTTGTTGTTATTTTTGTTTTTGTTGTTGCCATGTCGCGTCAACACTTGAAACTTGAAACATGCCCTGCATGAAGTGTTGTAGTTGTTCCAGTTGTTGTTGTTGTTGTCGTTCTCTGAGATATTTTCGTCTTCTTGCACAGTTCGCCTGTTGTTTACATTAACCAATTAGCGGGGGTGGCGAACCTTTGACATTTTATTGACATTTGTGGTCTCATATTTGCTTTGACAGACACTCTTTTGTCATGCTACTGTGTGTGTTAGTGTGTGCGTATGTATGCGTACGTATGGTGTATGTTTACAGCTGAACTGTTTTTGTGTGTACACGCTTCTTAAAACTATAGAAACTGCATAACAAAATAAAGTATCTTTTTTGTTTAATTATATAAAATTAAAATCTATATTTAATTTTGATTAAAACTTAATTTTGATTAAAAATTAAAATCTATATTTAATTTTGATTAAAAATTATGTCACATTACATTATTTAGAATTTTTATGAATATAAAATACCATTTTTGTATAAATATAATTTTAATTCGGAAAAATTTATATTAAAATATTTATATATTCTCTATGTCCGTTTGTGTGTAAAAATACACTGCATAATAATTTACAATTTAAAGCTTTTACAGCAGATAGCTAGTTTTAAGTAATTTGAAATTTTCTCAGATCTCTCGTATATAATCCCTTACAAAAAAATCGTATGCAACTCATTATTTATAATAGAATACAAATGTATTTTAAAGAGATTATTTTCTATTAAGCGGTGTATATTAACAAATCATTGTTATTTTTTATTCTTTCATTGAGTCTGGTCGCGGTACCTTTACCAGAAATAGCGAGAATCAATTTGAGTTCATGATTACCAGCTGTCTAAAACCTGACCATATCGAACAGAGATATTATATGTAAGGTTATTAACAGCAGCCGGATTACTTTTAAGTCGCACTTTATTACAGACAAGCATACTGCCATTATAAATCCGCGTCACATACTGATCGTGTTAAGTTAATAAAATTGACAAAATGAATCCAATATATCAATGTTAATTCAACTACGATGTGGATGTGCTGCATCACAGGAAATATGCGGAATTTAAGGAGAATAAAAGAATGCGTGTAGGCATTTAAAAAAATAAAATATTGAAGACATTTTAACTACAAAGTGTTTTTAAATAAAAAAAACAAAAATTAATGCTTTAATCTAACTAGCGAAGTAGTGTATAGTTGTGTATTATGTATTGATATATTTGGCTACTTTGTTTAAAATAAATAATTACAAAATTTACGTCTATAATATAATATATATATAGGTAAATATTTATTTTAAAGAATTTAAATAAGAATAAGAATAAGAAATTAAAATTGAATAGGCTTAAGAACTGGTCTAAAATACA